TGTTTTGATTTTCCTGAGGTATATTTCCCGAATTTTGTTGAATTTGGTTAATGGTGGTATCTTCGTCGAAAACTACCCCTTGGTTTTCTATCATATACTCCCTCGGTGGTTGTCGAGGGGGATTTGGTACACCAAAGAATTTTATAAGGCGCGTCATTTGTGCTGCTAATTGTTGATTAGTTTGGGTAGTATTCTGAATAAAGGGCTGGAAAATTTCCCTCATAGTTTGGGATATCATTTGAACCATTTGAAGGTTACTCTCGTCCATCTGTTGTCTTAAGTATGATGCATAACTGGTTGTCAAATTTGGCATTTAGGATGAATACCCTAATGCTAAAGTTTGACTATTTCGACCCATATTTGCCCCAGAGCCTGATCCCTGTAATGACGAAGTCATTACAGATTCTGTATATAATGGAGGGGCGTTTTGCAAGTTTTCTATTATCGAAGTTGGCATCCCATAAAGTGGGTCTCGAGGTAGGGGTATTGAAAACCTAGGAGGATGTCCGCTTCTGAATACTGAAGCCCCTATTGGTGGTGGAGTCTATGGAGGACCCCTTGGCCCAATATAAGTCAGAATGAGTTGCGTATGGGCAATCGAATATGTAGGTATCAAACTTCCCATAGATGGTATTGCTTCAGAGACAGGCGCTGAGACCGTTGGTCCTCTTGTCGAAGATCCTATGGGTTGTTCTACATTGTTACCAGGCATATCCTGAGGAATATTTGGCTGGTTATAATTTGCCGCCATTCTCATCATATATCTTCTCATTGTTCTATCTTCGTTAGCAGTGGCTACTTTACCACTTCTTAATAACATGCAATGAAGTTTTCAAAGATAAAGTTGACCGTAGAATTAATAAATTTTCAAAAATTTCGAAGCAAATTTTTATGATCACTTAGCACTGTCCCACTGGGCGTGCCAATTTGTTCGCTGTGAAAATTGGTGAACAACCGTTGGTCTTCCAAAATAAAAAAAAAGAATTGTTTTACTTGCAGGATCAACCACACAAATCCTAGAACATGTGCTAATTGATCTTTAAACAAAGTTTAAAAAGATGATGAACACTTCGGCAGAGTTCATGATAAAATAACTTATTTCAAATGTAAATGGAAGTGAACGTGAATGATTAAAGTCGAAAGACTGGTAAAAAATATAGAAAGCAACTTGCATAAAGAAATGATAAATTCTTAATGAAAAGACTTATTAAATTGCATTAAAATATAAAAATGGTGTTCCATCAACGTACATTCTCACAACTCGTTTCTCTACACGCCGGTACTTGGAGTATATTGAAGAATTTGTACACAATTGAGCACACACAAATCCTAACACTAAGACTTGCTATTTATACTAATCGAAAATAACTGCCATTAACGACTAGCAAACTAAATCGAGACAAGTGGCGCTCTGTATGTCTTTGATTCCTAAAAGCGCTTCACGTGTCTTCTTTGAGAAATGGATAAGAACGAACTTTCCCTCCTTTATTTGAATTCAAATCTTCCTGTCGAAATGCCTTCAGTAGCACCTCTGTCGAATCGAATCTTCCAACTGCTAAAAATATTTCTAAATCTGTAAAATAGTTTCTCCTGGCAAAAGGATGCCTTCGACTCACATTCCAAAAATATGGCTCCGGTCGAAGTCCTCTAATTTTCCAAGAAATTCTATTAGTTTTTTCTAATCCAATTTTGGCGTCGAAATTTAGAGCCAACAGTTCCATGATGCTATTTGAGAGAAAAGCTTCCTACCCAAGCTTAAGTATACCTACAAGATAGAATCGTGGATAACCGTGTTGACCTACTTGATGTATGACACATTGGGTTGGCACGAGAACCACACCTAGACTAAATTCACTTGGAAGTACCATTATCCTACAAGCATTTTCTATGACGATGTATTTTAAATGTGGCTCCGTGACTCTTTGGACCTTTTTAGGAATTTTCTTTTTCGAATACTAGAACCTACTTGTGAGAGGGATATGGGTTGTAGGAAACCTAAAAACTCTACCTACCTTAAGAATCATGTTCAAATTATCCATAATACGTCAAACATTTGAACCTATGATATTGCATACCATTGCATCATATCATCATAAAAAAACTAATTTAGCATATGCATACCAAGAACTTCTATAAATACATAAATCTTAAGGGTGAGAAGGATCCAATCTCATTTATGTCGATACCGCATATACATAGCTTTTCACCTTCCTATGTGAACTAGCTCTAAACCCTGCGACAAATCCTAATAGCCCTTGATAACCTTTAATCACTAAGGTTTATCACATATAATACTTCTAGCAAGTACAACTTCCAATCCCAACAATTTCCTTCCTCTACCTTCTTATCTCTTCTAACTTCTATGTTGTTTAGAACATCATTGTACAATTTATGCACACCAATCCTGCGATAGCCAACAAAAATTACTAATTTACTTTAGTCTTCTAACTTCTTCGTCATTGCATCAAGAATATTCTTGAAGCATAATGAACCAAACATTCTAAAGTGAGTCACTATAGTTTTCATTCACGACAAAACTTCATTAAGTATCATGTACTTCAATCTATTTGTAGGACATCCTTTAAAATGTAAGTAGTTGTGGTCGCTATTTTTGCCCACAAATTATATGGTGGTTCTATATGCTACAACATACTTCTAACCATGTTCAGAACATTCTTATTTCTTCTATATGTGAAGTGTAGGTTGTTGTGACTTCATATCCGATACCATGTACACTATAATATGCTTTAAAATCTTTGAAGGTTTACTTTTCACCTCCATTTATTTTCAAGATTTTCATCAAACTTATGACTTTTATTTTTTACAAGGCTCTTAAATCTTTTAAACGCTTCTAAGGCATGCTCCTTAACCTTTTTTCCACTTTTTTTTTTTTATCAATTTCAATTTTGAACTAAACGAAAAGCTCTTATTCATCTTCTTTTCCTTTTTTTATTCCAATAAATTTTAGTTCTCCTAAAACCTTAAAACATAAAATATATGAGTCACTTCTTTTATTAACCTAATATTTTATCTATTCATAAACTATGAGAGTCTTAATCGTTCACATATGAACCTAACTATCTCTTCTACAAGTGTGAGTTTTCAACTCCAACAATAAGATCAAACACATGATCTGGCTCTTACTCTCCCTCTAAACCGAATAAAGAGATATGTATACCATTATGTTGGAATGAAACTCAATAATAAACACTAATTGCTATTAAAAGTAAATTTAGAAGAAGAAGAATATTTTTTTTATATACAAGTGAATGAATCTCATTACAACAATGAATCAACCTTTAATATGTGAAATTGTAACTGCCTATAACACAAGTAAAATAGAAAAACAATTAATTAAACTAATTAAATATTATCTTCCATAACCAATTGTACCTTCAAATATCAACTAACTAGTTTAAATTACATCTAATAGATTCAAACATTGATTCACACATTAGTCAGTTTAACCCACTCCACGAAATTTAATTTCCATTGGTGATTGGTTTTCTTTAATATTTTATTTTTATAATTTCTTCTTCATCTTTAACAACCACCACTTTGCATGAAATTTACTTGATCTAGATTCTACGATATACCAAACTCTAATTAAAAAATTATTATTACTCTCTTTCTAATTAAGTATGTTAAAAAGTATAAAATATAAAAAATTTTCTGTTTATAAAATGTCCACCTACCACAAGTTTCTCTCTTGATTTTTTTAGTTTCTCTTTTGGTATAAAAAATTTTCTAGTTTAGGTAAAATTTTCTTTATACCGTCATATGCATAATATTTAATCAATTAAAAACTATATTTTTATTTAATTTTATAATTAATTAACACAGTAATAAAACTAATAGTTAGCAATAATTTGCATTGAATAAAACAAAACAAAACAAAAAAACCAGTGGGTCATAAGATATAGTGGGTGACCTCCAAATCCACCATAAATCTCGAGCCCCTAGAAGAACCTCCACTCTCTCGAGATTCTCAAATTCTCATCACTTTGCTTTAAATTATTTTTCACTTTCGAACTTTACTGAATGGCCAAACTCAGAGAATGTTGGATTCTTCAAAACCCTAAGCAACCATAATAATCTTATCTCACACACAACCTTATCAATGTTAAGGTTCTTTGAGTTTCCACATAAAAAATGAATATATTATATATTAAAATGTGATAAACTTAATTTTTTAAATTGATATTGTTAGGAAGATCTTAAAGTCTCGTATTGGTCGGAGATAGAATATTGAAATAGTTTATATCGAGTGACACCCTTCACCTTACCAACCAGTTTTGTAGGGTTGTGTTAGGCCAAACTCTAATATGATATCAGAGTCTATCGATTGGACCACCAATCGATTTTGTAGGGTTGTGTTAGGCCAAACTCTGATATGTATATACATACAGATGCGCAAATTCGAATCTCCGATATTCTATTTATTTACCTTAAATTCTAACTATTAGATTATTATGTATATATTTATATTATATTTACATACATGTTTACTAACAAAATATAGTGACTAGATGACATGATATTCTTTCATCCTCTAGTGAAATTTTTAAGCATAATTTTTTGGCTTCATATACTTTATTTCAAATAAAAAACTTACAAAAGCTCTTTCTACTTTCTCAGCATGTGCATGATTAACAAAACACATAAATTTCCAATTCTACCCTTACCAGATTCTCTCAAAACCATATATACCATTCAAATTTCACCTTAAATTACTTCCATTTCATAACCATTTACATAATATCTTGATTATTACAAAAAACCTGACTCAATGACAGACATGCTTTAGTTACCTTTTTATTATTATATCATATTCATGAACCTGTCTTTTTTTTTGTTCTTGTGTTTGTGTCTGACACAAAAGAGCTTTTGTGAATAAGTGATTCTGTCAAGAAAAAAAGTTTAAAGAATTTCTTTCTTATTTTGAAAATAAAACATTTGAGAGTTGTTAACTTGTTATCACTTACAATTTCAACATCTTAATGGAAGTTTCAAGAGGAGAAGCTTTTCTGTGTTTTGTGGCATTGTTCTTATTTTTGTGTTCTACTAATGCTTTGCTTTCTCCTAAGGGAATTAACTTTGAAGGTAAAGTTTTAAAAATTTGTAATTTTTTTTATAATAAATTTGAATTTAAATGTATATAAGTTTGTTTTTTTTTTATTTTTTAATGTAGTTCAAGCTTTGATGAGTATAAAAGCTTCATTAATGGATCCTCATGGAATTCTAGAGAATTGGGATGGTGATGCTGTTGATCCATGTAGTTGGAATATGGTTACTTGTTCACCTGAGAATCTTGTTATAAGTTTGTGAGTTTTTTTTCTTCAATTTTTTTATATTTGAATTTGATTAAGTTGCTAAAAGAAAAGCTTAAATGTTGAAGTTAATTCAAAATTGGTTTGAGATTTTTTTTGGCTTTTTTTTTGGTTTAGGGGAATTCCTAGTCAGAATTTATCTGGTACATTATCTCCAAGCATTGGAAAGTTAACGAATCTTCAAACTATGTGAGTGATCGGAAAGGACTTTTAGGAAAATTGATTTTGAATGAATTGATTATGAGAAAAAGTGGATTAAATTGCGAAATTTTTTTTACTACTGTTTTTCAGTGTGTTACAGAATAATAACATAACTGGAACAATCAGTTCAGAGTTAGGGAAACTTTCCATGCTTCAAACACTTGATCTTTCGGATAACTTCTTCAACGGAAAAATTCCTCCTTCTCTTGGTCATTTGAGAAATCTTCAATACTTGTAAGTACTTTTGAGCTAAGAAGTTGTTGAAATGATTTCTTTTTCTTGAGTTTAGAAGTTATTGAAATGATTTGATTTCAGGAGGCTTAATAATAACAGTTTTTCTGGTGAATGTCCTGAGTCGTTGGCGAACATGGCGCAACTTACTTTTCTGTAATCTTTTTCAACTTTCTTTCACTACTTTGTTCATTCATTTTGATGTTAGATGTGTTTTTAAAATGACTTGTTTGTGGTTATAATTTCAGTGATTTGTCATTCAACAATCTTAGTGGCAATGTGCCTAGAATCTTGGCCAAATCATTCAGGTTACTCTCTCACTACATATACATTCGTGCTCGCGCTCCAATTTATAAATCTCTGACACACACATACACCAGACGCAACACTGACAGATAAATATCGTTAATAATTTAAAAAAATGTAAGTAATTGAATGTAATAACTACATTTGTCGGTATCATGTCAGGGTCGAACACCTGACACACTACGGACACACCTTGAACACTAGACACGATATTGTCCGTGACACTAACACATAGACACGATACTAATATGAAAATATGCAAGTAATTGAACATAATCACAAGCGTTGGTATTGTGTCAGTATCAGTGTCAGACACCAGACACACTTTAATTTGAAGTGTCAGTGTTACATAGGTCGTAGGTGTATATATATACAGATTTAAGAAAATTTAGTGCTAACTTTGAAATTTTCCGATTTTCTCATGATGTTTCAGTATTGTTGGAAACCCTCTGGTCTGTGCTACTGCAAAAGAAACAAACTGCCATGGGATGAAACTCATGCCTATGTCAATGAACTTAAACAATACTAACAGTAAGACCCTTTAAAATTTTGAATGATTGTCTTAAAATTTCACATCATTTTTACACATGTTGCACAATGGTTCTAAATTGCGGTTATGCTGCAAACCTCGACATTGTGGTAAAATGCAGCCGCAATTGCAATTTGATGCCATTGCAAAGCTGCGAACCGCAATTTAAAACCAAGTGTTGTACTCTGATATATTATGCATAGTCATTGTATTGTTGCTTCTCTAGATGCATTACCATCAAGAAGAACAAAAGCTCACAAAAGGGTCATTGCTTTTGGTTTGAGTCTTGGATGCCTTTGCTTGTTAGTCCTTGGTTTTGGGTTTGTACTATGGAGGAGGCACAAGCATAAACAACAAGCATTCTTTGATGTTAAAGGTACATTATATATTTGATCAAATTATGACGGCTTGCGATTCATAATAAGATTCTATTCACGATTTGATAACCATGTTACAGACCGAAATCACGAAGAAGTCTACCTAGGAAACTTGAAGAGGTTCCAATTACGAGAACTGCAAATTGCTACTCACAACTTCAGCAACAAAAACATATTAGGAAAAGGCGGCTTCGGCATTGTCTACAAAGGAATTCTTTCGGATGGTACGCTCGTTGCTGTAAAGAGGCTTAAAGACGGAAATGCCAAGGGAGGAGAGATACAATTTCAGACCGAAGTTGAAATGATCAGCTTAGCAGTTCATCGAAACCTTCTCAAACTCTATGGATTTTGTATGACTTCATCAGAAAGGCTTTTGGTTTACCCCTACATGTCCAATGGCAGCGTCGCTTCTCGTCTCAAAGGTAAGCTCCATCTATAATTTCGTACTAAGAAATTTAGACGTGATTCATGATAGAACATTATGTTGTTGCCCGAGCCATTTTTGAGGACGTGCAAGGCAAGGCAGACTACTGCACAGAGCCCAAAATTTGCCCTGTTAATAAGGCCTCTATTTGTTTTTCCATTGTTAAACTGCGACTAACTTACACAGAGTCTCCAAAAACTTGAAACGACTCTTGTTGCCCGAGAAAGATTCACTCAGTTTGCCTCTACTAAAACTTCGAGTGCCATTTTTTTGTTAATTTCAGCTAAGCCGGTGTTGGATTGGGGCACAAGGAAGCAAATTGCATTAGGAGCGGCAAGAGGACTATTATACCTACATGAGCAATGTGATCCAAAGATAATCCATAGAGATGTGAAAGCTGCAAATATACTACTTGATGATTATTGTGAGGCAGTAGTTGGAGATTTTGGTTTGGCAAAGCTTTTAGACCACAAAGATTCACATGTCACAACTGCGGTTAGGGGCACAGTAGGGCATATTGCACCTGAGTATCTTTCCACAGGACAGTCTTCTGAAAAGACTGATGTTTTTGGATTTGGAATTTTGCTTCTTGAATTGATTACAGGTTTGAGGGCCCTTGAGTTTGGAAAGGCTGCCAACCAAAAAGGAGCCATGCTGGATTGGGTAACCTTGTCTCCTTTCATCATTCATTCAAGATTTAAAGGCTTAAAAAGATTTTTTGTTCATATAATAGACAAAAACCGAATCTCCGCGGTTGAGATTAAGGTTGTTTATGGTATAGTTCAGTCAGAAAAGCGAACGAACTAAACCACAGTAAAAACTCGTCTCAACTAAACCGAACTATTTTAGTTTACTCAAAAGCTAATCGAATCAGAATCTTGGTTTGATATACTGGTTTGAAATTCCGAATTGTACCAAACCGTTAGAAGATAGTTTTCTCAAACTGAACCAATTGTTAAAGAACCGAACCATTAGACTTGTTTTTAGTATTTCTCATTTTTAGTTTCAGTTCAGTTTATTTGTCATTTGGTTCGGTTCTAGAACTATTTGTGCAAAAGAGGTTTGGTTCACTAATCAAACACAATGGTTTGCTTATTTTAAGTTCAGTTCGATTTGGTTTGATGAGTCAGTTCGGTTTGCAATTTTTTTGAACAATCCTAGTTGAGATATCACCGTATTCATGCATTAAGTGCATTGGTGGTCGTTGTATTCAAATCGGTCAATTCTCAAAATATGCCGAGTTTGAAACATGAGATGTCTGATCTTGATCCAACAATCATCGATGTCGAGTTCAAAATATCTGAGTGTACGGTATACCTTTTTTTCAATTTTAGTCCCTACAAAACATGTTTGTCCATTTTTTAACCCCTAAACAGTAGAAACTTTTGTTTTTGTTCTCAATTGTTTTGGCTTTATTCCTTTAACATTATTTAATATTGGACTTATTGATTTTAGTCCTTAAAATATGACATTTATAGGTAAAGAAAATTCATCAAGAGAAGAAGCTAGATTTGCTTGTAGACAAAGATCTCAAGAACAACTATGACAAGATTGAGCTTGAGGAAATAGTTCAAGTTGCACTTTTGTGTACACAATATCTTCCGAATCACAGACCGAAAATGTCCGAAGTCGTACGCATGCTCGAAGGCGACGGTCTAGCCGAGAAATGGGAAGCTTCTCAAAAAGCTGACAACACTAACAAGTGCAAACCGCATGAATTATCTTTGTCAGATCGATTTTCCGATCTTACCGATGATTCTTCTTTGTTAATCCAAGCCATGGAGCTTTCTGGTCCAAGGTGAAATTTTCCTAGAATATTTTTTAGTTTAATATATAATTTTCTTAATGTTATGTTTTCTAGTTTTCTAAGTAGTTTTCTAGAGAAAGCATATGAAATTGAAGAACATATGATAGTTTTGAATCCATTTGTATGATATAAGTGTTCCAAAGCTGGAAAAAGCTGCTTGTTTTTTTTTCCTTTCAAATGTGCATATACTTATTTGTTGAACTTTGAATTTGTAATGCAAATAGTTGTAATATTAAGAGTAAATGAAGTTCATACCTAGGTTTTTTTTTTCATTAGAGTTATAGTTGACTTTCAGTTATGGTAGTTATGGTTAGTTACTTTTTCTGTTATGGAGGTTAGGAAGTTTGTTAATAGTTTATCTCACTTGATGATTGTAAAAAAGGGAGATTTATTTTATATTCTATTATATATATTAAAACAATGAGATTTATTTTATATTCTATTATATATATTAAAACAATGAGATTTATTTTATACTAATAAGATACCCGTGCGATATTATACACTATGATATTTTATTTACCAGCTTTCAACTTTGTTTTATTGTCCATGAATATTTATAGAATTTCAAATTTAGACTAATACTATGCATTAATTATTGTGCATTGATCCAAGTAGTCTTTTAAAAAAATGAAAATATTGCATAACGAATCATGAAAATGCAGCATATTACTTAAGATATGTTCTAAAGTTTTGATTTTATACATTAAAAATGTCAAAATAAAACACTCAAAACTTAAATATCTGAAATAAACCTGTCAACTAATTTAAACTAATTTAATTTGTAGCTTCAACAAAACCTGTCAATTAATTTAATTTGTAGCTTCAACAACGTAGTTAATCATTACAGCAATATACTAAATAAATATATTTCCACCATACACCGACATGAATAAATATAACAGCATAGAAATACGTTTAACTAATATATTTTACTGGCATAAAAGAACTACAATTAACACTTTCAGTAGTTGAAAACCAAAACTATATATCAGAGCGACTCTACTAAAACCCGAACGATAAATAATTAAAATGGCACATCGTCATCCTCTAACATCAAGCATTTACTCTTGTACCTTATCTGTAAACTAGTTGAAAACTAAAACGAAATTGAAAATTAAATATTTTTAATATAATAAAAATATTTTTTTAAATTAATATATTTTAAATTTTTTAAGATGTAAAACCATTAAATTATTATGATTAATTTCATTTTTAATTAATAGTAAAATTAATTCATCTAAACACTCTTCTCATTATTTAAAAATTATAATTAAAAAACAATACTAAATTTTAAAAAAATTAAAATAAATATAATTTCTCCTGTTATCTTAAGGAACTCAAAAATTTATTATTAATAAATGTGATTTTTAAATTATTAAATCAAAGAATACACATTGTAACTAATTGTTATTATTATATATTTTAATATATGTTATTATCTAATTGATATATCAAATAATTTAAAAAATATTTTATAAAAATCATTTATTAAAACCAAAAAAACTGAACTCAATAAAACCAATTATATTTCACTATCCAAAAAAACTGAACTTTATAATTTTACTCTAATAATATACTCCGACTTAGTTAACTTTTCATGTCGATTAAGAAAAAATTATTTTTATCATGTAGTGAGAATGATAAAAGTAGCATTAATTAAAGGATAAAATTAAAAAAGATGCACATTGTAATTAATATGTATACAAAATAAGTTCTTTCAAAATAATCTCTACAAAACCTAAAACAATCATACATACTTCATATAATTTCTACTCTAAGACTTCACATTTGACACAATCATAATTAGTTTAAATACATAGTGCAAATAAGCATCAATGGACAAGAAAACATTAATAATATTCATTGTTTGAATTTTCCATTAGTCACAATCGTAAGTTTGAATGAATCAACAACATTTTTCATAATATAATATCCGCATCATAACTGCGACACAATCACAATTTAAAAACTTTTGCTTACGTCTAAACCATTTGTTCAGTATGATATGTTGATGAAACAGGTTTAGCCAAATATGTAGGGTTACTATCTCCAGCCATTATTACAAAAATCTTAGGCTCTAAATCCACCGCCATTTCCACATTCTTCATAGATTTCTCTTCATTTGTTAAAGTCACAGATGATGAATTTTCTTGACAAGAACAAGCTAGACAAACTAATGCAAATGTTAGAATTGCAAGCATGAGAACTATGCCACCGAAGAGGTACGGAATAAAAGACGTAACAGTTTTGAAACTGCCACTAGCTGCTCCATCCATATTTCTCTTAGAAACAAGATTACAAATATACAAGAATAACAAAATAACCTCTCTTTCTCTCTCTCTTGAAATTAGGATTTTATCTTCCTATTTTTTCTTATGCTAAGATTGAGAAACTACCATCCTATTTATAAGAAAAATAGCACACTAACCTAATGGGCTTTTTAATAATTATCCATTACAAACTAACTTAGGGTACAAGCTAACTTAAACAGTTGGGCTTACAAGTAAGGCCCAATCCAATATGCTAACAACCTATTAATATTGACTAATGCATATTAGAGCATCTTTAGTGGGAGTAAACTAAATGAGTAAACTAAGATAATTTTTATGGGCCCAAAGTGATTTGTAGGATTTAAAAAATTTATAATTGATTTGAGTAGTTTTTACTTTAATGGTGGTTGTCTATAAGAAACCAAAACTTGACCTCACATTTTATATTTTTTATTTAAGTTACCATTAATTTAATTATTTTAATTAAAATACATATAATTTTTTAAATAAAATTTACCTTAAAAACTTAAAAATAATATTAAATATATTTTATTATAAAACTAAAAATGATACAAAATTCACAACAATAATACATAAAAAAAAAATTACATTTTCATAGGAATATAATTATAATAAGGATTCGATTGGTTGGGATTCATTTGATAAATAAATAAGATTGGAAATTGAAAGAAAAAAATTAAGTAAAACTGTGTGTAAAAAAAATTAAAATTTCTATAGAATTTATAGAAGGTAAAAAATGATAATATGACCGTTACTATTTTCAAATATCATACCCTTATGTTGTTGGAATATTTGGAATATTTTATTAATATTAAATAATATTATAATAGGTTTCACATGAATAGTTAACGTTAACTATATAGATAATGGGAACTAAATTTTAGTTCATTTGGATGCCATATCAGCTCTCCTATAATGCAAATTTCTTATTACTAATGTAAGTTATAAAGAATTTTGGTTTAACAACCCTGCGTTAAAGTTGCTCTTAGAACAAACTTCGACTACAACACGCATTACTCCGACAACAACATGCGAACATACTTCGACCTCATACTTAAATCCTGTCGAATTAGAAGCTACCCTTCAACTATATTAGAGTTCGATCCAACATCTCACAGATTTTATAGTAAAATATGATAATCTAATCCCTCAGTTATTAAATATAACCGAAGAAATAGATCATTAATTTAAAATATATAAATAAATAAACGAAATCACTTTTAAAGAAATAAAAACAAAAAATATTGTTGTTGGGATTCGAAACATGTCCTGAATTATTTTTTCCCTCGGTTATATTTAGAAACTGAGGGAATATGTGGTATTATATATATATATATATATATATATATATATATATATATATATATATATATATATATATATATATATATATATATATATATATATATATATATATATATATATATATATATATATATATATATATATATATATATATATATATATATATATATATATATATATATATATATATATATATATATATATATATATATATATATATATATATATATATATATATATATATATATATATATATATATATATATATATATATATATATATATATATATATATATATATATATATATATATAACATGGATTTCCTTGACATTTTACCTCGATTTTTGGTTGGATGAGGTGAAAGTTTTGTTATGAAATATATTATTTATAGTAGTGATCCTAACTCATCAGTTTGTACACTAGTGTTAGTGTCAATCTACTTTCATTTAAATAAAGTCACTTTTAATACAACATAACCAATCTTGCAAGTCTTCTAAATGACCCCAAAGTACGGTTTAGAGGCAATTATAGGATCCTTTCTTTCAAACTAGAGAATTGCATGGATTCGGCCGCAACCATAACCCCACTATTTAGCATTGTACTATGATCATCTTATGATTTTCTATAAAAAGGAAAATTTACTAATTCCATAAGCAGCCCAAGTTACTACATTAAATTTAGGCATATACGACGTCTATTTAATTGTCTCACATTCACTCCCATTTTTAGAAATCCTTTCACTAAACCAATTTATGAAACTCTTGTTATGATCTTTCAACAACCACATTCAATCATCCAGGGGAATTTTTTCTTGATAAGTCTTTTGTGAGCGGATAAGTAAGGTTGGATTTCATCAACATTATTCTCTCTCTCTCTCTCTCTCTCTCTCTCTCTCTCTCTATATATATATATATATATATATATATATATATATATATATATATATATATATATATATATATATATATATATATATATATATATATATATATGTGTGTGTGTGTGTGTGTGTGTGTGTGTGTGTGTGTGTGTGTGTGTGTGTGTGTGTGTGTGTGTGTGTGTGTGTGTGTGTGTGTTTGAAAAACTAATCATGAGTCACTGACTTAACATTTAAATCTTGAGTGCCGCTATCTTCATATCTTCCATCATTATGAGACTTTGGAAATCCTATAGAGAGTCTGCTTCTAAAAAAAATTTTGAACAAAATTCAATAGTTTTCTCAGTGATGTATTTTTCAACGATTGAACCTTTTGAGTGGTGATGATTCTTCGTATACCCTTTAAATATCTTCATGTATCGCTCTACTGGATATTCATCTTGAATAAACTAGACCATAAAATCTTATTTTCTTGACTTGATGAACAATTAAGTGAACCATACAGTCAAAACATGATG